TCTCAATAGGTACCCAAAAAAAAAAGTTTAAATTTAATTGACCTCATAAATTAATTAATTTTTTTAGGCTATTTTTTCATATATAATAAACCTAAAATCTTAAAAAAAAAAATCAAGAAAATAATTGAAGTATGTAAATGAAGAGAGCAATTATTTAAAATGTAATATATTATTGTGATGTAAGGAGATTTAATATGTGATAATATTATTCAAAATATATATGAGTCATTAATTATATTGTTTTTTTTAGAAGCAGACATATTTGGATAAGTTCATGAAATTTTGTGTGGATTTTTTTGCAGCATAATTGGATGGTACAGTGAAGCAAGAAAGTGGAATCAGGTACCAAACATGGCTTTAACTTTAAGCTTTACTTCTCATCTTCAATATTTTAATTCTTACTTTCTCAAAAGTAAAAACCTTTACCAACAGCATGCATTTTTTTTTTTTTTTTAAACTTTATTGAATGTCCAGCCACCAATGAACCCAGCAGAATAGTAGTTTATTGCAAAGTTAGTTAGGAAGCTAGAATATAATTTCAGTGGGTGGATTTAAACTTTACTAGTATTCGATCACGTGCACATATACACAGACGAAACAAAAAATTATATCATATGTACGTATATGACATTTAAAAATTTTATATTAGATAAAGTGTGTATTATATTTTAAAAATTTAAATATATGTAAATGTATTATATAAATATAAATTTTTTGACTTCCATATAAATCAATTTTTCGTTTTTGGTTTTTTGTTATTGTATAACTATAATACAAATAGGAATATTAGCTATAAAATAATTTAATATTGTATGTTCAGAAAATTTAAAATCTTGTAAAGCTGTTACAAAATTAAATAACAATAATAATAATAATAAGGTTTTACTCGTGTAACTGTCTTTTGAATGCTGGTTTTAAAGAATTTTATTAAATGAAGTCATATTTTTATTAATTGCGGGCTGAATAAAATTTATTGAAACTTACCATCAATTTTGTATATCAAAAATTCTATAGAGTCATCGGATAGTTTTCTTATGGAGCCATCGATCTATTGACACATGTCTAAAGTGTATTCATTGTAGGACGCGTCAATACACTATTTGTAAATAACTATCGATGGCTCCATAAGCTGATGAGCCATCCGATGGCTCCATAGTAAAACTGTTATATATATATATATATATAGATTTACATATAAAAGCCACATGTTAGGAATTTAAGGGGAGTTGGATATTTAGGTAATCTAGTTGAGACCATGTAACTGTCCTCAAACTTATTATGATATTTTTGAGTTGAATGACTGATCATTCATTATTTAAACAGCCAAGTTTGGAATTATTTATGTTTGCTTAAATTACTTACTATTATAACACTATTGTGGTTGATTTCTTTGACTAAAAAGACTTGGAATTGGAAAAGTCAAATCAAACCAGTTCTCGTGATGAAGAAGCCAACTCTAAGTCTAATTCCATTTTGGCAGCATTAAACAAAAATTCGTTGATTTATTTGGAAAATTTGTAGAAGTTAGTTAAATGGCACAATCAATCATCATGGGCTCGTTTACTTGAAGGGGTGGGATAAGATGGGATAGTATGGTTTAATCCACGAGTCGGCTTTTGTCCCACGAGTCAATTTTACTAAATCTGTAATTATTTGAACTTTTTTTGGATTAATTTGCAGACAGCAATTCCTGTACTAATAGGGACCAAATTTGACGATTTCGTTCGACTCCCACCGGATATCCAATGGACCGTTATCACTCAGGTAAAAAAAAAAAAAAAAAAAAAAGAAAAAAAAATCATCTTTTTCGTATGCAGATGTCTTACAAGTTACAGACACTGAGGCAATGTTTTATACTGGGTCAATCTTAAATTAGCTGACTAGCTAAATTAAAATTATGTACACACTACACACCTATTTCTAAAAATTGAGGTGAAACAAATCATGTGTATGTGATATAAAGTAATAATTACAAGGATGCTCTTTCAAACTTGATATCGAAACATATGATCGGGTAACTGCTCTAATATTAGTTTTGTATCGCATACGATGCAGGCACGAGCATATGCAAAGGCCATGAAGGCAACCTTATTCTTTTCCAGTGCAACACATAACATAAATGTAAACAAGATCTTTAAGTACATCATTGCCAAGCTCTTTAACTTGCCTTGGACAGTACACAGAAATCTTACTATAGGAGAACCCATTATTGACTTCTAATCTCTCTCTCTCTCTCTCTCTCT